CGTGGTGTGTGGTGTGCCCTGGGAGGGCATGGCTCCCTCTCTGGCTCATCCCTTTGTTCTCTGCCTCCTGCCTGCGTGGTAAGTGCTTGCTTCTGCTCAGGCCCTTCCTCCACTTGGTTTCTATGTTTAAACCTGCTGAACACGTCTGAGCTCTGATCCACAATGAACTGCTCCTCCTTTAAGTTGTGGTGTCAGGTATTTTGTCCCAGAGCTCAGGGAAGTGACTGAGACACCATTTAGGGGATCTTTCCATAGAGCTGTGGATTGGGTCCCAGGGTCTGACCATGGGAATCACACGCTCTTGCTTCCCCACAGAACTGAGTTGGGGTGTGGTCAGTTGGGGATGACTGCTAGTGCCTGATCTCAGCAGTGTAGTTGCTCTTTAATAGTATGTGTGGTGTAAATGGGTGAAAGAGCACAAGTGCTACGCACGATATGCCTCAACCTCAGAAGGCAGAATGCAGGTGATCTGAGCAAGAAATAAAGACTTAAAAGATTTTTGTAAAGAAATAAGCCTTAAAAAGATTTTTTTAAAAGTTAAAAACAAAGTCTGAGGACTAAATCTATGTTGCTGGCTCAGGCTTCGTTGACAACTAAAATTAGTTTTTTTCAATGAGAAAGTAGTTAAAGACTCAATTTTAGGTTATTAAAAATTGAACTATATATGAAGCTATTCACCTTAGAATCAAACTTTTTCCAAGGTCATCCAAACAAGTATCTGAATTGTCAAAGAAGTGCAATGATACAAGTTCTTGGAGATTGACATTTGGAAAACTGACCAATAAATAAAATGAGATTTCAGGAGTTTCAGTGATAATAAGGATATCAATATCTGTGAAAAATCTTGCCAGGATTTTTTTTTCATTGGGCAGAAGCCAAATCTAACAAAGAATTGTGCACCAGGCCGTGTAATGTTTCATAGAGAACTGACCCTGTTTTTAGGGCTCAAATGTCCTCTGAGAACTTCAATAATTCTAGTATAGGAATATATTCAGGTTTTAAAGCAAACATAATGGGGGGCTGGGGATTTAGCTCAGCGGCAAAGCACCTGCCTGGCAAGCGCAAGGTCGTGAGTTCAGTTCCCGGTACCGGAGAAAAACAAAAACAAACAAACAAAAAATAAATAAAGCAAACATAATGTCTGTAATAATTTCTTTGTGGTTTCTTATAGGATGTTGACTTCTGTGCCAATTTTTCATTTATTCATCCACTTATTTCTTCATTTAGTGAATATCAATCACGTTTTGGGACTGAGAATCGTTAGTGATATATACTGTGTATAATCAAAGGTTTCACTGTGTCTAGCAAAAGATATGAATTATATTTTTGTGGGTTTTTCCAGGTATAAATTACATATAATATTTTCAAAAACATAGTAGAGTAAGAGTCACAAGATCCTGGAATAATTCCTAATGTTCTGTAGGACAGTAGGGTAACTATGGTGGGAAAGAATTGATTGTTTCAAAATAGCTAGCAGAGAGGATTTTTAATATTTCCAACACAGGGAAATGATAAATGTCTCAGATGATTGATATGCTAATTATCCTGATCTAATTACTATACATTGTACACATGTATTAAAATGTCATGCTGTACCCCATATGTGCAATTACTGTATGTCAATTAAAAAATGAAAAACTTAAAAAGCACATAAAAATAAAATCTACTAACTGCACACACACGTACATACATTATAAATTCACAAGTGTGTACAGTTGTGTAAACGATCACTGTAGTCATGATGCAGTCACATTTCAGTGCCCCCTCAGCCTTCCCTGCTTGTCTTTTCAATCAGTTCTCTCCCATCCATCTTGTGCCATGACAATTACTATTTAATTTTGCGTTCCTTCTAGAAATCCTTATATATGGAACCAAAAGTAAATAATCTTTGTGTCTGGCTTTTTGTACTTAATGCTTTTGAAATTCATTCATGTTATTAAAAGTATCAGCTTTTTAAAGTTTTCTATTCATGAAAGAGTAGTGTAATTTAAGTGGATGTGTCCCAGTTCATTAATATATTCATCTGTTGATTTGACAATGGGGTCGCTTCCAGTTTTTTTGTTATTATGAATAAAGCTACTATGAATATTCACAAATGGATCTTTGTGTGAATATTTGTTTTCATGTATCTTGGGCATTGCATAAAAGTGATAATTTATGGGAATTAAGAAAAGTGTTTAATTGTATAAGAAAATGACAAACTGTTTTCTACAAAGGTAATATTATTTATACTCTGATTGGCAATATAGAAGAATTTCAGTTGGTCACGCTCTTGCCAACACTTGGTATTGTTACACTGAACAGATGTGTACTGGGGTATCATTGTTTTATTTTGTGTTTTCCTGCCAAATAATGACGTTAATCATTTTATATGCTCATTCACCATTATACATCATATTTGTTAAATATTCTTTAAAATCTTTTGAACATAGGTGCAAAAATTTTTCAGCAGAATACTACCAAGCTGAGTCCAATAGTGCATTACAAAGATTATTTGCTATGATCAAATAGGATTCATCTCATGCATACAAGTATGGTTCAACACACACATATCAATAAGTGTGATATATCATATCAACTGGACGAAAGCAGAAACCATATGATCATCTCAATAGTTGCAGAAAAGGGATTTGATAAAATTCAACATTACTTCATGATAAAAACTCTAAATAAATTATACATAAAAGGAAAGTACCTCAACATGGAAAAGGTTATCTGTAATGAGTCATCAGTAACCATACTGAACAAAAAAAAAGCTAAAAGCTTTTACCCTATGATCTAGAACGAGATAATAGTTTCATTTTCAACACTTTAATAATACTGAACATCCTAGAGCAGTCAGGCAAGAGAAAGAGATGAAAAACATCCAAAGTGGAAAATATGGGGGTCAGATTATTACTGTTTGTAGATGACGTGATCTGTTATGTAGAAAACTCCATAGACCCTACCAAAACCTTATTAGACCTAATAAGAAAATTCAGCAAAGCTGCAAATCAACATACAAAAATAAATAATATTTTTACACATGATAGCCATAACTGACACAGAAATCAATGAAATGATCTTATTTAAAATAGCTACAAAATAAATGCAATCTATAGGAATAAATTTAATTAAAGAGGTGAAAGATGTCTAAAGTGAAAACTATCAAATGTTGATGAAAAGCTTGAAGAGGACATACAGAAAGAGAGACATTCTGTGCTTGTGGATGGAAAGACTAATATTGTTAAAATGTTCATATCACTCAACGCAGTCTACAGAGTCAAGCGACTCTCTCTTGGAATACCAATGGCATGCTCATAGGACTATGAAAACATGATTTTATTTTACTTATTTATTTTTTTATTTTAAAGAGTACAAGAAGGACAACATAGCAATAGGGGGATTCACTGAATTACAGACAAAGTAGTAGGACATTATCAATGGCTGTTATTTTACCTATGGGTATCTTCAAGATAGTTTCTCAGGAAAACAAATAGACAAATAATAGTGAGTTAGAGACAAAAGTGGCAGGAAATTATCAATGGTGTTGTATTATACCTTGGTTTCTCCAAAGTGGTCTCTAGGGAAAACAAATAGAGTTATACATGAGTGATCAATCAAATGAAAAAGTGATTTTAAAATTTGTATTGACCCACAAAAAACAAACAAACAAGCCAAACAAAACTCTCATAGCCAAAGAAATTTTCAGCAAAAGGAACAAAGCACGAGTTATTACACTAACTTTAAAGTGTATTACAAAGCTGTAGTAATTAAAACAGCATCATCTTGGCATAAAAACAGACACATAGATGAATAAAACAGAACCGAAAGCCTGGAATTAAAACTACACCTGTACTGCTGACTTACGCAAAGGTGCTACAAACTCTTTAGAGAAAGAACAGTCTTTTCAATAATTGGTGGTGAGAAAATTGTATATCCACACCAGAAGAATGAATCTAGCCCCTTTCACTAGTTATGACTGTGAACTCAAAATGGGTTAAAGACTTAAATATAAGACTTGAAACTACATGTAAGACTAGAATGTAAGAAAAATAAGATTAGAAGAAAATAAGGAAAGTGCTCTCTGACATTGGAATAGGTACAGAAAGGTATTTGGAGAAGACTGTGAAAGTATAGGAAGCAAAGGTGAGAACAGACAAGGCGACTCTGTCAAACTAAAAGGGTTCTATAGAGTGAAGGACATAATCACCTGCCAAAAAAGGTAACCAGAAAAAGGGAACAATATTTGCAAAATACACATCGGCAAAGGGGTTCATATTCAAAATATTTAAGAACGAAAAGAACACAACAGCAAAAAGCCAAAACACCCAATAAAAATAAAATCCGTCTCTGCAGACATTTCCGGAAGCAGGCATGTGAATAGCCATCGAGTGTGTGAAGAGTGCTCAACGTGGTAATCATCACGGGAGCGCAAATGAGAATCACAAGCGATCGCCTCGTTGAAGTAACAATGAGTATTATCAAAGAAGCAAAAATTAACGAGGGCTGGCAAGGTTTTGGAGAAAAGGGAACCCTTGCACACTGTTGATGAGGATGTAGATTAGTGCAGGCATCGTGGAAATCAGCATGGAATTTCCTCAAAAAATTAAACTATCATACATTACATCAATGTAATGTACAATCAAACTAGAGTGTCATACATCACAGCAATCCCATTACTGGTCACACACCCAAACAGTGTGGTCAGAGAAGAGACATCTCCACCCCTACATTTATTATAGCACCATTCACAAAAGCTAAGAAACAGAAATACCTAAGTACACATCAATTGATAAATAAATAAAGATGATGCACATATAAACAATGTAATGCTAGTCAGGGATAAAAAGAAAATAAAATCTTGTCACTTGGGATGATGTAGAAGTCCCAGTAGAAAGTGAAATATGACAGGCTCAGAGAGGCAAATGTTTCCCCTTACTTGTGGAATGCAGTAAGACTGACCTCACAGAAGTGGAGAGTGCAGCGGGGGTTCCAAGAGCCGGGGAGAACAGTGGGAGGAGGAGGGGGAAGGCTGACTGAGTGGTGCTAATTTAGATAGGAGTACACGGCTCTGGGGGGCTGTGGCACAGAAGGGTGAGTTACACAATCATTACCTTCTGTGTGCTTCCAAAAGCTAGAGGAGAGGAAGTTGCTTTCATTATAAAGAAATAATAGGGCTAGGTCGGTGGTAAAGCATTTAGCTAGCATCCACGACGTCCTCAGTTAGATTCCCAACACTACAAAAAAAAATCTGAGGAGATAGGTATGCTTACGATGATTTAAACATTTCACAGTATATGTGCATATTAAAACATCTATCAGATGGCATCCCATGAATATGTACAAATTTGTACTTTTATCAGCTAAAATTATTTTTATTATTGAGTTATAACAGCTCTTTATAGATTGTGGATAAAAGTCTTTATCAGATATGTACTTTGCGAATATTTTCTCCTAATACATGTCTTGACATCTCATTTTAAAATGATGTCTTCTAAAGAGCAAATTATTTCATTTTGATAGAGTTCAATTTGTCAATTTTTAAACTGCTTTTTCTGTCATCCGTAATAATTATTTTCTAACTCATAAAAAAGATTTTCTCTGAAGCTCTCTTCTACAAATTTTAGTTTTAGCAGTTAGATTTAGCTCCATGTTCCATTTGTAGCTAATCTTTCTTTTATTTAGTGTCACGATTGATTTTTTCTTGCATATGAATATTCTATTTTAATATTTTCATAGTTTGTCTTGTTTTAAGGATTATCTTAGATCTTCAGGACAATATAAATAAACTATACTGACATGAGTATAAGGCCTGGGAATGGTATACTTCTCTTGTTCCTGATTTTAGAGAGAAAAACTCTACTCTTGCTATTGAGAACAGGAATGCCCCTTGCTCAGCTGACAGAAGGGTCTTTCTATTTTTAGGATGTGGAAGATTTCTATCATAAATGGGTATAGAATCTGTCAAATGCTTTTCTGGCACCCACTGAAATGATTATGTTATTTTCCATTTTCTGTTGGTTAATATGGTGAAATTTAAAAATTAGGTAGGCAGCCTTTTTCTTTCTCTTTTTACTCATCTAAAATATGTGTCAATCATCTTTTAACTCGCTCACAAAATTTCTGATGAGCAGTGAACTACATCATTCTTGTTCCAGTCCATATATACAATGAATGTTTTTTTCCCTTCTTATATTAAATTTTTTCTTTAATCACTAGCTTCCAATAATGTGACACATCCTGCTGTGATGTTCATATTTCTTCTGCATTTTGCTGAACTTCTTAGATTTGTGAGCTTATAATTTTTGGCAAATTTTGAAAAATTTTCAGCATTTTTTCCCCATGTGGGCTGGAATTGATTATACTGTCTCCTGAGTTTTATTTAACGTCCAGTATTTGTCTGTGTCTCACACTTGACCTTTCTTGCACCTGTCGTGTCTGTGTGCTGGGATTCTCTAGACCTCTGCAGGGCAATCGGATCACTCCTTCCTGTATTCTCTCTGTGATGTGGCTTCTGTAGTCCTTCCTTGCCAGTAGTTCTGTATCTACACCCTTTCCATGGGTATATCTACGTATTCACTGAAATATTTTACACAATAATGGCCCCACCCCTATGCTCATAAAAGACTCAACTCAAATATCGCCATCTCAGAAATCTCTCTGACTACACTATACAATACAAGCTTTCCCAGGCAGATGTCCCCTAAAAGCTGATAGCTCTACACATGGTTTTGTGTGTGTGTTCTTTTCTTTTCTATTTCTCCTGCTACAGTGTAACCTCTTCGCAGACAGGGACCTTTGATGATTTATAATCCTTAATACCTAGCATAATCCCTAGTACATAGTAAACTTACATAAATATTTTCTAATGAATCAACAAATGATGACTTGTGAACCTAACAATCAGAATGTGTTATAACTTGGTTTCCCTTAATTTTTCTAGTGTGTATGCCTGGGTTTCTTTGGAGCTTATCTATTTGTTGTATTTTACCATTTTATCATGATTTTTAAATCTTGTATTTATTCTGCTTTTCTTTCTCCACACTGAAATTATTCAGGTGCTTTAAGGCCTAATTCAATTTTCATCTTTTCCAAGACATTCTTTTATGAGGGGCACATTATTTTTCTTTCTATGAATTTCAACTGTATGGGTGGTCTAAGTAGCAGATTTATGGTTCATTTCATATTTTCACAGCCTTTAAGTATTTTGTTTATAATTCCTTAATAGAATTTTAAACTCTTGAAAGCCAGGGTCCCTCTTTATATCCACCAAGAGGTGTTGATCTACATCAGACTCTCAAGACAAATTATATGATGCTCAGACTATATGTACATACACAAAGATTATGGGTTAGCTTTTCTTATATATTTATTCCCTTAGGAAGCTACTTTAATAGTACTCATTCATTCATTTATTCCATAAATATTTATGATCTTCCCTTTATGTGTTGAGCACTTCTTTAGGTGTTGAGGATTCATAAGTAAATAACACAACTTTAACAATAAAAATCCCTGACCTTTTGAAGCCTACATGTTTTGAGTGTTGAGGAAAAAAAAAAAACAATTCATAAACAAAATACATAATGTGTCAGGGAGTCATGGGTAAAGTGAGCCCTTCAAATTTGAAAGACAAAAGGAACCCACAAGTTTAGTTAAATTTTATATATCAGGTGCACATAATTTATGAGACATCTGCTTTAGCTTTTGTTTAGATGTAGATTCTGTGGTCCACCTTCAAACAAGGAAGCATAATTATGTGGGGTTGAAGGGAAAGAATATTACTGTATTTGTTTCAGTGTGGCAGAGTAATTAGCAAGCAATAAATGTGGTTTTCATCTAACCAGGTAAGAATCATCTGTACTTTCTTGTGGGCCAGAGATTGGTTTCCTGCAACTCTGAAAACTACTAAAGAAGATCTTGCTCTTCCAAACTGTTGCTGTTGTTTGTTTCAATCTAGAAACACCTCCTGAGTACTGGAGTAAATTTTAAAAAATGAATCCACCCTTGGTTACACAGTGATATGTTTATAGAGGATGAAGGGTTTTTCCCTCACATCATCCAAACATTTTCTTAGGTAAGTTGTGAGCCATATTGTTTTTGAAAAATATTCTATGTTTTTATTAGTGCATATTAATTATTTAGAATAGTGAATTTTATGTTGACATTTTGATGTATGCATACAACATGCTTTGCACTTCACCTACTCCAACTCTCCCTTGATCCCTTTCCCCTTAACAGTCTCCTGTATACTTCATGTCATCTCAAGAAATTTCATCCTGGACTCTAAATCTGCATCCCATCAGGAGACAATGTTTGTACTTTGAATTAATTGGGATACATCTGGTTTGATTACTGCTTCCTTGTGTCCCTTTCCCCATTCACCTGTAAATCTTCTACATCCTTGAGCTATACCCTTTCCTTAGAATCCATTCCACATGGAGCATATGCCTGAATTTTCTTGTGGCAATATTTTCTCAACCTATTTTTGGGATCAGCCCATAAAGATCTACTAACAGGCATGCAGGTAAAAGTTTGGTCTAGCATCTATGTTTATTGGAGTTGCATGTTTTTGATCATTTGTGTTGCTTAAATGTATTTCAGCTTTAATCCTGCTTGTCCTCTCATTTTCTGGTCTAACTTCAGAAAGCTCCTGGAAGTAGGTCAAACCTTGAGTTTTAACAATATTTTTTAAAAGTATAGGAAAAGAATAAAACAGTATTATTTGATTAGAATGTATTGGTTGCAGAAATATTAATGATTATAAAAACAAATACCCATTAATTAAAAAATTCTAAATAGTGAAGTACTAGTAGATTTTAAAGCTAAATATTATACATATTTAAAAGTATGTGGTGTAGAAATAGTCCAGTAACATTTATAAGATTCATATTTTAAAGATGAGATTAATTTCTATTTGTTTTTCATTTTTATAAATGTCAAAGTATAATGTATTATGAAGAATGCAGGGAATAGAATTTTTGAAATTTCCTAGGCACTCATAATTTATCAGAGCTGCCTACCTTTCCCCAAAACAGCTTGGTATAAAGTATACCAAAAAAAGTATATTCAAGATCTAGGTAAAATGTTGCCCAGGCTCATGAAGAGAGATCTGACACAGCTCTCCAACATTTTCTCATCTCACGTTTTTGGACCTGATTACATATCTGCTTATTGTAGCTGTGCTCAAAGTTAAAAGGTGAGTAACTCAATTATAGCATCCTACCTCTGAAAATCAGTTTCCTAGTATCATTTATATCACCAAGTGCTCCATCAAGCAAGGTCCAATGACAAACCATGATAGCTATTTTAAAGGAGGACATTAGTAAAATAAATTGGTTACTTTGGGTATTATTATCTCTTATGATATATCCCAATTACCTCAGAGTGCAATGTCCTGAACAGCAGAGGTGCGTCATCTCCTAGTTCCTGAGCTTTAGGAGCCCAGGAGGACCTTCAACTCACATCAGGACACAGTCAAGATTTTGCGCATGTTTGGGATTTCTGGAGGTTTTGCTGGAGATGGAGGATCTGCTTCCTAGGTGACCCACACATGTGCCTGTTGGTAGGAGCTAACAGTTTGCAAATGGCCTCAGCTCCTCACTGCACAGGCCTCTCCATAGAGTTTTTGGAGTGTCTTCATGACATAACAGTTAGCTTCCCCTAAAGACTGATCCGGGAGAGATTGGGCTGGAGAAGTTGTGATATCTTTCATGAACTAGCAATATATCATCATTTCCATATATTCTATGCATCAGAAACAGTTCCCTAAATCCAGCTCACACTCAGAGATGAATTAGAGTCCACCTTTCTGAGGGAAGTCTACTGAAGTATTTGTGATGTATCTTAAAATCATAACACTGTAGTATTGGAAGGCTGAAAGAGCAAAAAAAAAGATGTCAAAGTACCACGGCTTAGATGTAGAACATCCCCCAAAGACGTCGTTCGGAGGTGGGGCTTTTAGAAGGTAGGTGGACTGTGGGGCGCTGTGGACTAATCCACTAAACTTGCTGGTAGGAGGTCTCCTCCAGCTGAAGGAGGTGCGTCCCTGGGACACGACCTGTGCGGGAGCACCTCCGTCCCTGACTATTCCCCTGCGTGCGTCCTGGCGGCCATGACATGCACAGGTTTCCTGTGTCCAGGCTCTTCCGCAGGTCTTTTCCACCTCGGATCCAGCCAACCACGGACCGAAAATATGAGCCCAAACAAACCGCTCTTTTAAATTGTGGGTGTCGGGTCTCAGCAGTGAGACAGTGACTAAGACAGAACAAATGCACTCTCAGCCCCTGTAGAAAGCTGTGACAAGTGGAGCTGAAGGAACAGACTGTGGTGTTTTATACTGAGGCGCTCAGAGGGCTGTGGTCTGTTTCGGCTTTTTGAGGGGTGCATGGCACGTACCTGTCGTGTGGACCTCTCAGCAGGCTGCCACTTGGCTGTCGTGTTCTGGCCCCTCAGAGAGACATGGGGCAGGCTGGCAGGAGGCTCTATGCAAACGCACGGGGTTGCTCAGACTCTGACACAGGGAACACGGGCAGCGGGTGGTTGCGCCTCGAGAGGCATAGCGTCTTCGGTACTGCAATTGTTTTCTGCTGCCAGCAGGAAATATACAGGAACTGTAAATAGAAAAAGAGTCCATTCCTCCCTCTCTTGCCTTCCAATTTCACACCAGTCCTCCTCTGTTAGGCAGAAACTAACGGGAGTCCATCTGGCAGGGAATATTGGAAATAGAGTGCAAAGGAGCAGAGTAAGTGTGGGTTGGCTCGGTCGGAGAGACAACCGGCAATTAACTGGGATGATTAGGTTTACGTTTTTCTTGCAGACATCTCAAGTCACTCTTCCTACTTCTTCACATTGGCTGACAAAGAACATTATACCTGGTCTACTTCCCCCATAGGTCGCTGATGCCTGGTATAGATTTGATACTCTAGTATTTCTAAATGCAGATTTAGAATGGATAGATTTTAATGGGATGAAAAGTTAACTGGTTGAATCAACTAGGGATCATCATCTATTTCTCACCCTCAGTAGTTAATTTGCTATGTGGGAAAAGAGAATGTGCAAAAGTTGGGTGCCTAGAAATCTCCATCAGGTCATTGGTAATGGTTCCTCCTGCTTTTTCCCCTCTTCCTTATTTTCTTGGCAAATGTGGTAAATATGCTCCAGTTTATATAGCTGTCCTATAAGGTTTGCTCCAGGGCAAAACTGGACCAAGAACTTCCTGAAGGATTGTGGCTTGGGATAAGGCTGTGAATTGGGCACTCTTAGATTAATGTAAAAAAAAAAAATTATCATTACTTGAGTATTTCAGCACCTCATCCTTCTCCATGTATTTTATGAGCAAAGAACTCCAAATGGCAAATTATTCGCACCACCTCCAATGACCACCCTTCTGATCCCAGCTTCCCAGCTGCTTTGGAGATCTCAGACAGATTTTCTCCCAGTGTCTCTGTCTGTCTGTCTCTGTCTATCTCTCTCTCTCTGTCTCTCTCTTTCTCTCCAGCACTGGGGATTGCAAACAGGGCCTTTGCATTGTGCTTCTTCCCCAGTCCTTTTTATGTTTTGAAATTTTGAGGTAGGATCTCACAGATTCAATAAGTTGCTTGGGCTTGAATTAGTGACCTCCTGCACTCCCCCTCTCGGAGTGCTGGGACTGTGGTTGATGCCACTACACCTGGCTTCCTTTACTCTCTTCACATTCTCACCAGACACCTTTTTGGTAATGCGTAATGCTGAAATAATTTAGTAGGCACAATCAAGAATTTAATGGAGAAATGAACCTTAGCATCTAGGAATTGGCTAACATTTTTTGATTTCTCTTCTGCCTTATGAGCTTACATCAGTTCTATCCTCCCATTTCCTGGTCAAATTATGAGGAAGATGGGACTTGTCTTTGCTTTTGATTTGCTGTTAAACCCACTTTCTCTCCTCTCAGGTGTTATTTTGTATCTCTGAGGGTGCCTTTGTTATTCAATAACTTGATATAATATGCAACTTCTTTGAGCTTTTTTTCCTGATCTGCTAATCTTTCCTGCCATTAAGCCCTCCTTCTGGAGAAGTACATCATATTTAAAGTTCCAGGCCTGCTCTTTCTTCAGTCTCCCCATTTCATTTTATGGAAACACTGTCCTTCTGGTTTCTCGGGCCAAAAAACTTCAGAGTTATTCTTCTCTTTTGAAAATTTCTTATTTTTCATAATTAACCTGTCAGCAAATGCTTAAATATATCCATTTAAATATATCCCGAATCTGGCCATGGGTCACCTACCTTCACTATGACCACTGATGTCCGTATCACTGTCATCTCTTATCTTGATTAATACAATAAGCTTTTGCCTGCCTTTTTTTTCTTTAAAGGTAGGCTTTCACTATGTAGCCCAGGCTGGCCTTAAACTCCTGATCCCTTTGTCTAAAACTTCTGAGTCCCTAGATTGTAGGCATAAACCTGCAGGTCTCGCTTTCCTTCTGCTTGTGTTATCTCCTCCTAACTGTCCCTTACTTCATTCTATTCTCGAAATAGCAGCAGGAGAATCCTCTATGCAGGTAGCAGTGCACGTCTTCTGATGAAAACCTTCCATTGCTTCCCGTCTCACCCATAGTAAAATCCTGTCTTCACAGATTCCACAAGGCCTGTGTGGTATTCACCTCTCACTCGTTCTCTGACCTTTATCTCCCACTCTTCTTCCTTTTTCTCTCTCTCTAAGGATGTTCTCATTGTTCTTTATCCTTTTAAAAGAAATCAGACAAATGTTTAATCTCTGTTCTTGCTGTTTTTCTCTACTTAGGATATTCCTCTTGCTATTTGTGGATTGTTTCTTTGTTTCCTTTAAATCTTCTCAAGTGTCACCTCCTCAGTGAGCACCACCCTGATCACTGATGTTAAAACTGCCACTTCAGCTTCTTCCCTGCCGTGTTTTATTGATGTTTGACACTGTTTCTATTCAAATCACTACTCGTCATTTAACACACCCAAGCAGCCAAGAAAAAATACATTTTTCTTATGTGTTGTTGATTGTGTTTCCCTCTTCAATACCATGTGAGCCATATGAGGACTTGGGTTTTCATCTGTTTAGTTCATTCC